TACTCTACTCTACTCTACTCTACTCTACTCTACTCTACTCTACTCTATTCTCAACTCACAACAGTTCATTCAGTGACCATTCAAAGTGACACTGGGAAAAAAGGGACATCTGACCATTTTTCACACTTATGACTGTTGCATTATCCCTGTGGTCATGTGATTCCCTTTTACGACTTTCTGACCAGCAAAGTTCCTGGGGAAAACAGATTCACTTAACATCCATGCTACTAACTTTAACAACTGCATTGATTCACTCGATAGCAGTGGCAAGAAAGATCACAAAATGGCGCTAGAACTGACTTGACAAATGTGTCACTTAGCAACATAAATTTTGGACTCAATACTCAGAGTTTTGCAGCATTAATTTAGCACCAGAAAAACAAACACAGACAGCTGAGGCTTCATTTAACATCTTCATAAACATAATAGGTCGATTTTACAAACCATTTGTAGATTTCTCCAACAGGGAGCAAACTCAGACAGAAACAGGTTGCAAGTAACTTCAGCAGACATGCTACAAGTGCAGAGCAGAACAACTCAACTTCAGCAGAGAATCAGACCTCAGTTTCACTTTAGTTCAGCAGGCAAGCAAGACACACAGCAGAGGAGAGAAGCAATTTCATCTTCAATAGACAGACTCAGAGCTTAACATTGCTGCCTAAGCTACTTCTAGTTTCAATTTCCAAACAGTCCTCATTGTCTGACTTAGCTGCTATACCTATTCGTTGGCTAACCTTGTTACCAAGCTCTATTTCAGTTCATGAATATACTCTGACACTCAATTGTAGTTATAAGTTGAGGGCTGCCTGTATTCTTCTTCCTTCTTCTTCTCCTTCTCATTTTTTATTCTTTCTTTTTTATTCTTATTTTTATTTTATTGCTATCATTTTTATTCCTCCTATTTTTCCCATGACAACCACCCTGTGAACGGAGTTGGCCTACTTACTTCAACTTCTTGCTGATTTTTGTGAATTCGACCAAACCAGCTTCCATGGGGAGAGTTAACTGCCCTGCTGAAATCATGAGCCGACAATCTTCGTAAGTGTGATCCGTGACAGGCACATCCAAAACGCTGAGATTGAAAGACACAAAACCCACAAAAATTCAATTCAGTGCTAAACTTAAAAGCAGCTGCTCAGAGGCCACGGCTAAGCGGACTAAGGCAGGTGACACCTGGAGATCTTCCACAAACTCCAAATAAAAAAGCATATTTAATCAGGAGAACATAAACATCGAAAAGATTCTCAAAAGGAAAATGGGCGATGCAGTCATTTCTTTGGTCTTTGCCAGAAATTTCTGGCCTCCTACGGCTATAAAAATAATTCTTCTGGATGAGGAGGAATCCAGAAAAAATTATTCATCCAGGAGGAAGGAAGGGAGGGAGGAATGAAGGAAGGGAAGGAGGGAGGGAGGGAAGGAAGGAAGAAAAGGAAGGAAGGAAGGAAAAAAAGGAAGGAAGGAATGAAGGTAGAAGGGAAGGAA